TACAAACTATTCTTGAGAGTTTGGCTACACCTCCTCTTCATTTAGTAAGTACAAACTATTCTTGAGAGTTTGGCTACACCTCCTCTTCATTTAGTAAATACAAACTATTCTTGAGAGTTTGGCTACTCCTCCTCTTCATTTAGTAAATACAAACTATTCTTGAGAGTTTGGCTACACCTCCTCTTCATTTAGTAAGTACAAACTATTCTTGAGAGTATGGCTACACCTCCTCCTCATATAGTAAGTACAAACTATTCTTGAGAGTTTGGCTACACCTCCTCCTCATTTAGTAAGTACAAACTATTCTTGAGAGTTTGGCTACACTTCCTCCTCATTTAGTAAGTATATTAAGTGACTGGTGAATATATTTAAACTGGTTTATTTTATCACCAAATATTTTGAATTTTAGTGGGAAGAGGGATCACGGATGACGAGGGAAGAAGCCGTGCTGCTGATTCAGAGACACGAAAGAGCTCGTCAAGGAAGACTACGAGCAGCTATCATGAGAGAAATTCGTCAGAAGGAAGGAAAAGGCTTGCATGTACCCTTAGGAAAACCAACAATTTTACCTCTACAAGAAGCTGCTATTAGAATTCAAAAGGCAGGTATTCCTAGTCTGTTTTTATAAGTTCTTTTTATAACTATCTTTTAACATCAACTAAACAATTAGTTGATGACATTAAGTTTTGTTGAATAGTGATTCTGGAAGCAAGGGTTTACATGAGAAACTCATTAAACATTATTATACTAATCTGTTCCTCTAAGAATTTGGTAGAAGCGAGCTAGTTTTTCAGGAGATATAAAATTTGGTTGGTTTGTAGTAAAGATAATGAGGTGTGAAGTCATTTATAAACACAGACATTCAAATTGTTGTAGTTATGTTAAATATATGAGTTACTGCCCGATGTATACTGACATCATGCACAAATATTCATAGGAACACAGGTTCAGCATCACTGTTATATCAAACACTGAGAGGAGAATGAAAAACATGTTGTTACTTGTTACGTTAAAAACTAAAGAATAGAAAAAATTAGCTTAATCTGACTTTCTTAGTTTTTAATTGATATAAGAAAATAAAATCATTGTAACATTCTGTGTTCTACAATATTAAACATCGAAAAATAAGATCTAACATTCTCCTTTACATAGCATGAAACTTTAAAAAAGTTGTGTATAAAGTTAAAATCATTCTGTTATTTGATATCCCTGTAACATTTGCTGTTTTCATGTTATCACATTAAACAGTGAAAATACATAGGGAGTTATAATCACTAACATTTTTTGTTATGTTATTTTAAAACTGTATCGTTTAAATACACAGATTTGGAGAGGTTACTTGGCCAGAAAGAAAGTTGCAGAGGAGAGAGAGGAGGAACTAATGTTTTTAGGAATGGTATAGTTTCATATAGTTTTCTAAGATAAACTTTCTGGAAGTTGTGGTCACTAATATGTTAGTATTATATGTAGCTATGTTGTAATGTATCAGAGAAGCTGTGTATTTTAAGTTTTGGTATTAACACATTATAGTTTAATATGTCGTGACTGATTGTTGTATATATATATATTATTTATACATTTTTCTACTTAACCTACCTCATAAGCTTTCGTATCGGGTGAAACAACTTGTTCACAACAACCTACAATATACCTGGTAGGTCAGTGGTAAGTTTACAGACTTACAATACTAAAATCCGGGGTTTGATTCCCCCACAGTAAACAGATAGTTCATTGTGTAGCTTTACGCTAATATGACAACATTCATTACACTACTAGTCTTTATGTTTAAAACTGTAAAGTAATCTGTGCTTGATAACTTGGCTGATTTTTCCTAGTGTGTGTGTGTGTGAAATATACAAGTGTAACAATTAATATAATGTTTATTATAAAACAGAAAACACAGCATATGTACTTGCAAGCATTAAAACACAGTCACTTCTACTGGACCATGGCTAGCTCCACAGCAAGCTTTCTCTTGGGATAGACTTCTGTTGAAGTCAAAACTCTTATCTGTATTTACTTTCAAATCTCCATATAGAACTCTCAATTAAGAAATTATGCCTGGATTTAACAGGTAAACTTGGTTTCCATGTTCTGTTGATAGAATCACCATGTAACATTTGTTCTCTCAAGCATCGGTCAGCTGTAACATAGAGACAGTGTCGACTAACCAGCAAAGGGCGTTAATTCTTTACAGTGTCGAGTCATCCAGCAAAGGGCGTTAATCCTTTAAACTGGATGCTTAAGTTCCTGAAATATCCTTTCAGCCAGAATAAACACTATCTACTAAAGAGATCAAAGAAACAAAACAGTCTCATTGATTTTCTGGACCACATGTACAGTAGAACCTCGACATTAAGGGCACCCTTCTGACTACATCCAAATGCCCTCTATAGCAAGGCACCCTTGATATAAAAAATGATCCATGCAAAAATTGATTCTATATTGACCATACTAAATTTCTGAATTTGTTTGGTGTATGCATTTAAAGCCATTTTGTTACATGTTGTCACCTGTTGCAATTTTCAGTTTTGCTAGGACAGCCCAAAGAATCTGTTTTCTCTAGAGGACTTCACAGTTTTAATGACACCCTGGTCGAGTGGGTGCAGGATCGAGGTGTCATTAGGAGAGAAGAACAGGACACAGGTGTTAATGAGTTGAAGATTGCCATGATAGGAGCATTGTCAACAAAAAGGAGACCATTTCAACTTTGGAAATGCATTTTTCAGCCATTCTTTGTAGAGACTACTGGTCATCTATGGCTTTTTTATTTCATGTGTAGGTTATGGGAAGGGCAGTTTTCTACATGTTACGAAAGCAAAGGGGGATTTTTGTGATGACCAATGACCAATGGCTTTTCAAACTCTCTCATTATGTTGGCGCACTGTGCAACTGTGATGCGATTTTTACTGTTTTTGCCTTTGGCCTTCTGGTCAACACATGCAAGAAGCAATTGATCCAGCAATGTGTGATAAAACAGGCCAGTTTGAAAATGTCTTTTTTTTTTGGTAACATTCGATCAAAGATGGAAGATGTTGGCACCATTCGTCGACAGTGTACGTGTCAACTCTTGATTTTTCTCCTGAAAGAACTGCCATCTGATTAGGTGCCTGTTTCTAAAGTTATTGAGCCAACCAATCAATGCTTTGAATTCAGTAATGTCAAAATATGCTGCAAAAGTACTTCAAAAAGCAAAGATTTTGAGTACTTACAGTGTTATAAGTAATAATAAAGTTATTTAATAAAATTCTGGTTTCAAATAGTAGAAAAAAAGAAATAGACTGAAAAGGTCTGCCCTTAATGGTGCAATGCCCATTGTTTTGAGGTGTCCATTAATGGAGGTTCTACTGTATATGCTAAAACTGTCTAGTAACTAAATAAACACAAAATTTTTAAATGTTTTATACAACTAAAAGCAGGTATACATTAGCAGTTGTTATGTAGTGTTTCATTACCTTATATTAGCAGTCTTTCTGCAGTGTTTTGTTACCTTATGGCAGTCATTGTGTAGTGTTTCATTACCTTATGGCAGTCATTGTGTAATGTTTTGTTACCTTATGGCAGTCATTGTGTAGAGTTTTGTTACCTTACTGCAATCATTGTGTAGTGTTTTGTTACCTTACTGCAATCATTGTGTAGAGTTTTGTTACCTTACTGCAATCATTGTGTAGTGTTTCATTACCTTATGGCAGTCATTGTGTAGTGTTTTGTTACCTTACTGTAATCATTGTGTAGTATTTTGTTACCTTACTGCAGTCATTGTGTAGAGTTTTGTTATCTTACTGCAGTCATTGTGTAGTATTTTGTTACCTTACTGCAATCATTATGTAGTGTTTTGTTACCTTACTGCAGTCATTGTGTAGTGTTTTGTTACCTTATGTCAGTCATTGTGTAGAGTTTTGTTACCTTATGCAGTCATTGTGTAGTGTTTTGTTACCTTATGGCAGTCATTGTGTAGAGTTTTGTTACCTTATGGTAGTCATTGTGTAGTATTTTGTTACCTTACTGCAGTCATTGTGTAGTGTTCTGTTACCTTACTGCAGTCATTGTGTAGTATTTTGTTACCTTACTGCAGTCATTGTGTAGTGTTCTGTTACCTTGCTGCAGTCATTGTGTAGTATTTTGTTACCTTACTGCAGTCATC